GGGAGAGGGAGAGATGGCAGGGAAGGGGGAGAGGGAAATGACGCAGGGGAGGGGAGGAGAGGGGAATAGGGTTTGGGAATTGGGGGTGGGTATATTTATTTTAATTTAAAATATTATTATTAATAATAATCGCGAATTAAAACCTGATTATTGATTAAATAACCTATAAACCTGGTTTTCAAAAACATCAAATTAAACAACTAGTTTAGTCTAATTTTCCCAGAAAACTTCTAGTCCAGCCCATTAAGTGTCCAACCCGGACTTTCGTTTTTGTTCCATTTAACTAGGCCGAAAACCCATCTATTTTCCAAAATACAACCTAAATCTTCTTCTCCCTTCTCACGATATACAATGGCGGGAGGCAAAATTAGGAAAGAAAAGCCGGGTGCCGTCGCCGCCTCAAACCCGCACTTCCAGGGTGGCATACCCTTCCACAAGTCCAAAGGCCAGCACATATTGAAAAATCCACTCTTGATTGACAGTATAATTCAGAAATCCGGCATCAAATCCACTGACGTCATCCTGGAAATCGGTCCCGGTACTGGTAACTTGACTAAGAAGCTTCTGGAAGTCGGAAAATCTGTCATAGCAGTCGAAGTTGATCCGCGTATGGTTCTAGAGTTGCAACGTAGGTTTCAAGGAACCCCGTCGTCCACTCGATTGAAGGTGACTTCTTTTGGAAATTTCTTTTTCTTTGGTGTTTAATTGTTTATGGACGAGATTATTAGTTGTATATGTCTTTGTGTTTGGATTGAAAACGAGAACCTGGGGCAAATGGACTGTTGTGAGCGTGAGTGTGCTGGGCTGCTTTGGTAAATGTTACCTTAATAAGCAGCCTATTTGAATGCAGCTTGTATATCACACTTGAGCACATGGTATGAAGTCATGGCTGAAACCGAGTTAACGAAGTGGTGATTTTTATTTTCTTGAGTAAGATTCAATGTCAATTTATGGCAATTGTTTTTGTCTATATATAAAAATTAAGTACTCCTGGAACTTGTAAAAAGTTGGTGGAAATTTTTTCTGAAAACACTCTGTGGTTATAAAATTTGTGAAGAAGAATTGAATAAGGAATTTAGAGCATATTGGTTGTGTAACTTGACCATACTTAGAGGCTTGTATTTGTTTATAGTTAGTGGACTTTCCATGTTGAAACGGGGATGTTTGACTAAATATATAAGAGCTCCTTAGAAAGAGTTGTTGAGGGATAAAAATCTCATGAAAAGATTCTGTTCCATGGACCTATGTTAACTATGAAAAATGTCCTATAAGGTTCTAAGATTTGCTCAGTTATGTTCTTAAATATCTTCTTGATCAATTCTCTTCTCAAGTTTTACTATCATTTTACTGACTTAAGTATCGGAGTTTCTCCATGGAATATATCGCCCTCTTTTTGCTTGTGATGTTCTTGAAGTGATTCCATATGTTAGCAAAGTCCTTTCACAGAATTGACGTTGATGTATGTTTTATGAAAATTGATATTATTAGTTCTTGGGAATTCCCGGCTCTCTTTTCATGTTTGCTATTCAACTTTCATGGAGTAATTTTTGTAGACGACGCCGTTGGCGAAAAATTGACATCGACATTTTATTGATGATAATTGACCTCAATAGTCCCAGAGGAACTGCTCGCCCCCCTTGTTTCACTTGCTGTCGTCATTCTCAAGAGTAATTTGTGCATATCCTATCATAATTTACGTCGTTGACATTTTGTTGATGAAAATTGATGTCAAATACCAAATTTTTTTGCCACCTCTTAGAAATCTGTATTGCCTTTTCTTTCGGATTTATTTTACATACAAATGCCATATTAATGTTTACCGCTTCATGATATTACGTATTTGACTTCTGCAAAAGATGTATGGTCTGCTAACTGTTTTCAAAATAGTTGTTACTGGAACAAAAATGATAGGCAAGACAACTTGTGTTGATCTGTTTATTTTTGACAATTTTAATGAATAATTTCAGTAATAATAGTTTGCTGCTGATCTGGAATGTGTTATTCGTCATTCTAAATAAGCAGTAGAACTGAGCATGCGTTGTAATGTATCTCCCGCAGGTTATACAAGGAGATGTACTGAAGTGTGATCTTCCATACTTTGACATTTGTGTAGCAAATATCCCATATCAAATTTCTTCCCCCCTTACTTTCAAATTATTGTCTCATCGCCCATTATTCAGGTGTGCGGTAATAATGTTCCAAAGGGAATTTGCCATGAGGCTTGTTGCTCAGCCTGGTGATAACCTTTACTGTCGCCTGTCTGTGAACACTCAACTATTGGCTCGGGTAAACCATTTGCTAAAAGTGGGAAGGAACAACT